CTAGTCATCTGGGCTTCTTCACCATCACTTACCACTCAAAAATGTTAATGTTTGAAGTAATTTGTGCCCCTGTTCCCACCTACCAAAACTCCATAGATGACATCTCTGATCAGTCTCAGTGGAGACAGCCCTGTTCCCACCTACCAAAACTCCATAGATGACATCTCTGATCAGATGTTCTCAGTGGAGACAATGACAAGGTGGGCTAGAGAACTCCTGCACTAAAAGTCTGCCATCAAAAATTTAGCTTTGTGCAGCTGGAGACTGGCAAGGGCAGAGGGCTTTGACAGGTAGTGACTGCCACTTTATTTCACTTGCCCACCTTTAATAATAGCAGTTATATGTCAACCATATTCCAGACAACAGCTGCTCAAGTCCCATCCACTCTTCACTGAATGATAAACTAAACCCGAGTTTAATTGGTAAAGGAGCCACACCTGAGCCATAAGGTGCACTTAAAAAAGGAAGATGTTAAATCTGGAATTGGCATTTTAAATAAATGCAGAAGTGGGAACCGGACGTGTTGCTTTTCCTTAGCTTCACCACTTAGACATTTAGTCTACTTTCTTTCCCTTTCTCGTACTGGTTGTGGAATTAGGAGGGAACCTATATCTTGACAACTAATAGCAGTCTAGAAAACTTCTACTGTAGGTATTATCAAATTTGGGTTAGGCACTTTCAACACTCCCCTCAGTAAACAAGCGAAATCTGTGGTTTTTGCCTTTGAAAATGTGACTCATCTGCTCAGCAGTCAGATGCAGCCCTGGTAGTTCATACGACTCAGCTGGAGCCCAGTCTGAAACATCAGTAGAACATCCTGTCTGGCTGAGAGATGCATAAACACTGCTTACTGAATAGGATTTAATCTAATGTTGATCTTCACGCAGTTGGCGATACCATATGTTTTTGTGTTTTAATGCTTATCCTGTTTATCTCGTCTTTCTGACCTAAGTCCAAATCCTTCTGCTGAATAGGTGTCTTAATAATACTCACTGAAAATTAAAGAACAGAAAGGCTTAATCATTAATATCATGCACTAGTCTAACTGGCCACAAGGTTTTATATTGCCTCACGTCCTCTCTGTATAGTTCCTTTCCTTTTTGGAGTTGCTTCTACTCTACTTCTTGTTGAACATGTGTGGTAAAGTTAGGCATTTTACTGAAGACCTATTTTTTTTTTTTCCGGATGATGTAGGCATACCATTTTCATTGATTACAGTACAAATTCTAATCAGAACAACAAAAGAAGGAAGAATTAATCTCTCTGAACACGTACACTTCAGGGCTTGGCATTCTGTGCACTTTTGTGGAATACTACATGATTTTGAAAAGTTTTAAAAAAAAGGTTTATGGAAAAGCTGTCTTGGTGTGTCACTAACAGCGTGCTTCAACAATATAGATAATTTTTTTAAAGTCATAGGCAACTGAAATATTCTTTATGGTCAAAGAAAATGCTGCATGTGAGAGCTACTGAAGTCTTGGTCTATTTTCAATAGCTTGTGAGAAAGGGAGTCAATGTTTAATGGGGAGCTGGCTAGAATTTCAGATAGGGTTGCAGAAGATGCCATTTCCCAGCCCCTGGGGCTTTTGAAAGTCCACAGATGATAGGGCAAATTCCTCCTTTGGCATTGGTCTTTTATGTATTGATCCTAAAATAGGCACAGCCTAAGTACCACCATAGCAGATGTCTGTTGCAGAGCATTATGTCTTTTGCGTGCACAATTGCTGTTTGTTATCAGCTGTAGAGTATTAATAAAACATGTAAAATAAGCACATTACCATAAACATCCTAGACAAACCCAAGGCTTTCCTCACATCACATTTCTCAGCTTATCCATACTCTTGATTTTTTTCCACTTTTCTCTCTTTTTTGCTGTTGGCTTTATGATTTTTTTCTTTTTGTTTATAACAACAATTTAGCTGAAACATATGCAATATGCAGTGATCTATATAGGAGGTATATCTTCTATATCTATTAAATCTCTTTATTTTCACTGCTTTATGGTGATTATCTCATGTTCATCTTCCTTCTTTTTCCTTTTCAGCTATTTTTCTTGTGAACATAAAGGCCTCAAACAGCAGAGCCACAAAGGTGGCTTTCCTTTCACATACTTTTCCAGAGTTAGTATTATTTTTTTTCAAATACTACTTCTAAAATTCTTTGATAGCAATAATTCAAACAACAGTGCTTTTATTGCAAATCTTTGGGGTTGCAAAAAACTAGAAATCAAAAACTTCAGAAATCAAACTGCAGTCAAACCTGGCCATATTCTGTTTGTAAAGTCTTCTATGGAAATTATCTGACTATGAAGAGTGAGATTTTATTGTTCTTGTTCTTGGGAACTACTAGGGAAATAGCTGAGATCTCAAGAGACCTCTCTCAAAAGGGAAGAGGCTTAGCTATTGAGAGGAGCAGAATGTACCAAAGAGGTACAAAGTTTCTTTAGATTCCTACTTAAGGCCTGTAAAGGAAGACCACATGAGCTAAATTTTTATATATATCTATAAATACTACATATTTTTTTAGCTTAGCTAAACAGCAATAGGACAACAAGGTACAGATTATTGAAGAAACATTCAGAATAGTTATAGACATCACACTTACAAAAACTGTATGTACTGGAAAATCTGATTTTCTGACTATGCATTACCAAATGTGAAGAGAAAGGGAAAATAATTTTTTCATACTAATCAGAAACACTTAATAAGAAACACTAATAAGAAACACTTAATGACTGGAAAATAGAATATTTTAAACAAGTGCAAGAAAGTGGAAGCTGCACAATATGTTCACAATGGATTTTTTTAAAGACACATCCTTTACCTTAAAAAGTGGGGGAATCATAGTAGTGTTTATAGGAAACACGCAAATGAAACTGCAGTACATAAATGTTACCTTGAAAAAATTTGCAGAGAGGGAATTAGTCTTGAGCTTAACTGAACACTGCCCAAAACAGAAAAAATACGAGGCAGTTCCCTCAAGCTGATTTGACTTTCCATCATACAGCTCACAGGCTTCCATTCAGGACTCCCATCTGAGGAGTCCCACTAAGAGCTAGAAACATATCTAAGAGTTTGTGGAACCATGACCCCTTGGATCAGTCACATTAAGATCCAGTCTTGGATTTGACCCTTGTTTATTTCTATGCAACTGAAGGTTTAATTAAGTCAATTGTTGCTGACACATGTAATGAAGATTGAATCTGAAACTGAAAAAGCTTTGTTCGCTCTCTTATAACTGTTCAAAAAATGTTAAATTGTGGTGGAGGAAGCTTTAATTATTGTAAGAAAGCTCAACAGATTTAGAAAACAGCTTCTGGACAAAGACTTGGTGGAGAATGTGAACTGTTAACTTTTGCACGTTAAATTGCTTATGAAATATTTTGAGCATAGTTAAGCTTATCATAGGCTTGGGGTTTTAATAAGTATCCAGACTTGTTCCTTGGGGGGAACAGATGTGTTTTTCAGTGGTCCGCCAAATATTCACTCTTTGCTTTGACAATCATTATGTATTTCATAAAACTATATTGTGTTTCGTTGCTGGGTTTTATTTATTTTTTTTTTTTGAATTCCACTGCTGTATCTTTAGTGTAATGTTTTTATGTTTAATTTAGAAGGGCACGAGTAACAAGACAGTGAGTGTGAAGCGAGGTTAGTGCACCTATAAAATGCACTTCATTATAATCACAAATGTATTCAACATTGTTATATGGTTTTCTTTCTTTAGCTACTATTACTTTTCATGCGGAGAGCAAGAAGACAGAAGACATGTTCTTAAGAAGCTGTGCTTTGTTTTTCTTTGTGGCCACTGGTAGGTAAGATGGAAAAGGTGATTCAGGGTCAAAAAAGGAAGAGGCTTTGGCAGGCAGGCTGAGGAGTTGGATGCCACGGCGGGCATAGCAGTAGCAGCCCAGGCTCTGAGGGAAGAAATTGGGATGGTGTATGAATGCAAGAGGAGGGTTTGAGCCCTCCAGATCTCACAGGGAATTTCGAAGCATCCAGATTTAATCTGCTCACTTTCTTTCAAGAAGGTCTCTTCCTCATCAAGCCCAAACTGCTAAAAATGTACGTAGCTGCCAAACAGCGGAACAGATACACGTCTGCAAACTTGAAAGCAGGATCGTGAATCAAAAACTTGTCATTTAACACTCTTAGCCTGCACTTTTCCCGTCGTTTCACTTCCCTGGCTGTGGGGAGGAAAGGTCAGGAATTGATGCCTCTGTGCAAATGGGAAACATGTCAAGAGGTGTGCAGGAGCAAGTACTTTCTCTTCCTTTGTTAAAAAGCAGGAAAGACAACAGAAGCAGTTCCCGCACGGTCTCCCCTGGCACAGGCTGTCCCAAGGGGAGGTGGACAGCTGTCCCGGAGGACAGCAGATGCCCCGAGGGCCCTGGAGCCGGGCGCCTCCGTGCCGGGGCCGGCAGCCTTCCATCGGGGAGCAGGGTGGGCGCTGGAGCTCCGGGAGGCCAGAGAGCGCTGGGCAGGGCCGAGAGCCGGCTCCCACCGCGCCGGGGGGTGTGAAGGTGTGCGTGTGTGGCGGAGGGTGCGCGTTTTGGGGCGGCTTCTCTGTAGCTCGTTGTTGTCTGCGTACGGCCGGGGCGGGAGTTTCAGACTTTTCCCCTTGCCCAGCTCGGGCGGGACACCGCTGGGCGCAGCTGCCCTGCCTCGTGGGGAGCGGGCAGGGCCCGGGAGCGGGGCCAGGGGCTTGTTTACCGCCGAGGGCAGTGCGCGGTACCTGTGTGCAGGCTCGGGGCGCTCGTCCGCCTCCCGCCCCTTCCCGGCGGCCGTTAACCGCTGACTTCCAGCCTCCCTCCGCTCCCCCTCCCCGGGCGGCCGCGGCACGGTGCGCTCGCCGCCGCCGACACGGCGCGGTCCCGCCCCGCTCCACCCCCTCCACCGGAGAGCCAGAGCGGCGGGCGAGGTGGGGGGGGGCCGGAGAGGAGCGTGGCTTCGCCTGCCTTTCCCCGGCCCCCCTCCCTCCCTCCTCCCGTCCCGCGGCCAATCGGCGCGGAGGGAAGCGCTCTTGTCGCTGACGCCCCCGAGGGAGCCCCCCTTTTAAAATAAAGCGGCGGCGGCGCGGCGGGAAGAGGGGGTGTGTGCTGGCCTCGCTCGGTCCCGCACACCGGCGGGCGGGCAGATAAACAGAGCGAGCGCCGCGGGATGCGCGCAGCCCCCGCGGCCAGGGACTGAAGCGGGCGGGGGACGAGAGGTCGCGAGGAGAGGGAGAAGGAAAAGGAAAAGGAAGGCGGGAGCGGCGCGCCTGAAGGGTCTCGCGTCCGCTCCGGGGATGGTGCCGGTGAGCGAGCAGCTGGAGCCGCAGGGCGCGGGGGGAGACCCCGCCGCCGCGACCCCCCTGCCCGGCCCGCCGGCGGTCGAGGAGCCGCGGCGGGAGAACGGCGGCGAATGGTGCCCCGGGAGCGGCGAGAGCGGGGCCCAGCCCCCGGCGGCGGCGGCGGAGGAGGCCCCCAGGAGCCCGGACTGCCCCGGGAGCGCTGCGGCGCCGGAGCCCCCCGAGGGCGGCTGGGGCTGGGTGGTGATGCTGGCCGCCATGTGGTGCAACGGCGCCGTCTTCGGCATTCAGAACTCATGCGGGGTCCTCTTCGTCTCCATGCTCCGGCTCTTCGGCAGCAGCGACGACAAACAGCTGGCCTTCAAAACAGGTGAGGGGCGGCCGGGAAAAGGGTCGGGGCGGCTTCCAGCCCGCTCCGCCTCGGGCCTTCCCCGCCTGCAGCGCGGGCGCCGGAGGTGTCCCGGCCCGGGGCTCTCGCTGCCGGCGGCGCCGCTCCGGCCGCCAGGGGCCGAGCCCGGGGGCCGCAGGAGCGACACCCCTCTGGGGGGCCGGGCTGGGCTGGAGCCTGCTGGGGTTCTCGGGAATACCCCTGAGGGGAAAGGCGGCTCCCCCTGGCAGGGTGCGCCCCGCAGCCCTGCCCCAGGCAGCGACCTCCTCTCCTGGGGTATGGGGGAGAAACTGCGGGAGAGGAGCAGGTGTGCTCTCGCTTCTTCCACAGCTGGATCTTTAGGCATCCGCCCTTATGTCGTGCGTTATGGGTTACAACGAGCACTTCTGGTGGCAGAAACATTTATTCCCCTGCCCCCGTTAGACTAAAGGTTAGTCTAAATGATCAGTTAAGAGTGGGGTATAGTGATACTTAAAATATGTGGGGAATGGGCTTGACAGTTGCCAAATCTGGCATTTTGATGTGCAGATTTACTGCTGCAACCGGTGTCACGCAACTCACCGGTGACTTTAATGATATTTACCAAACTTCAAAGACATTAACAGTGCTATCACATGTTACTGATCTAAAGCACTTTAGGCACGTGTCGATTAGTTAAAAGATGAACATGCATTCTGTTTGATTTCATGTAAGTTTTCTGTGGAAAGTGTCTTGTGCTCTGACTTAGTAAGTTGAGGAAATGCAGTTTTTGGCCCTTGGCATAGCAACAGTTGAAATGAAGAAACAGAATAAAAATTTATTTAACAGAATAAAAATGATATTTTATTATAGTAAATAATAAAATTTACTTACGTAAACGATCGCTTCGTGTTAAATTATTAAAATGAAATACTGAAAAATAAACGCTGTTTTGTGTTTTTGTTAATTTATTAAAAAAAATGTCCAGCCTTGCAGACTTGTAAGCCTTCTAAAAAACTTTTTCAGTACAGAGTGGATGTTACAGACCTTTCGAAATTTATGTCTTCCTTAATACTTGCATAAGTGGGCCTGAAGTTGAGATGTTAAAACAAAGAAGCTAATTTTCCCCCTGCAGCTTAATAACTGTTTTTGTCTGAAGTAGAAAACCAGGGTAGGTGTTTAAACTGAAGTGGGAAAGCTGAAGAGCTGTGGTGGAGCATTAAGTGTTGTTCTCTCCACCATCTAAACAGTTTGCAGTGATATATAAGGTGTATTCCCCAGTGTTCTTGAGCTAGGAAGATGGGAATCTACATCTGCACATCAGGCTGGGTAATGCCTGTTTCTCAGAAGGGAAATGCACATCCAGAAGTAGGAGCCTAGGTTCCTTAGCCTGCACAGGAGAAGAATGAGATTGAGAGAACGTGCTGTGAACATTTGCATGCTGACCTGGGAGCTCCTGGCCAGTCAGAAATGCAGAAGTACATGGGTGGCTGATACTCTGCCTGTTCATTGTACAGAAATATAAAAATTGCTTTTTCTGAGTGTCTGGTTCGGTGGTAACAATCTCTAAAAAATTGTTGTCTTGTACTGAAAAAATAAAAAAGGTCTTCAGGTGGTAGTGCAGTAGTCAAAATAATCAACAAGAGAATCAACTGAAATTATCTCCTGCCTTCCAGAAGGGTAATTGCACTGCTGGTGTCTAAGTGAGGCGAGATTGTGGGTCCACTCATGTTTGAAAATTTGCCCAATTGCAGAAAACAGTGGTGGGAGGGGAGTTGGAACCTGGCTTTAGAACCAAGTTGTTTTGCATCCTGCTTGGAAGAGCAGGAAGAGTTCTGAGTCCTGGATATAGCCAGCACCTCCTGTATTGCTTTTTAAGTGATGTGAGGGGGAAAAAAATAGTTACAGCTGCACTTTGTTTTGCTTTGTCAGATGTACTCTGGTTTGGGTAAGGCAGAAGGCACTAATTCTGGTTTTTTTTTTTTTTTTTTTTTTTTTTTAAATCCAAATGGGTTCAGATTGGGGGAAATACTGCAAAGTAGCTGCCTTGACTAGGTGACTTGTGTGCATGTGAAGAGGACTGCAAATACGTGGAGTCTCCTGTAAACAAAAGCACAGCAGATAAAAAACGTTCCTTTCCTTTCCCTTCCTGAAAGTACCTTGGTGAGTTGGGGTACTGGAAGGGAAAAGTCACTATGATTTTAGTGTTAGAGAAAAGTCTAGCCTGATCATTCCCATGGCATTGATTCAAATACTTAATCTGCTGAGTCTCTTGTGTTTGGACTGATTGCAGCTCAAACCTGGCAGTGGTAACTGAGTTAGTCAAGTTTAATGAATTGGAAAACTGGAATTTGTAATGAAAAGTTTTCTTGCTGTGGGACTTTGCTTTGGAAAGCAAAGTTTAATAGTCTAATCCTTCTGGAAAAGAATTTCTCTAATATCTGAAATGCTGATTTTTTTTGAGACACACGAGTATTCCAGGCAATTTCTTTAAGGACCCCAGGTGTCTGTGGAATTTTGCAGTTGATCCACAGTACCAAAGAATTCAGGTCTGTTTGTAGTTTGTTAGTTGTTGGTTTGTTTTTTTAATTTTTTTTTACTAGAGGATTACTTAGCTGTTGCCAAGAGCACATGTGTTGCCAGAGGTTTTTGCGTGCCTGCTCTTTCGGGACCAGTCAGTAGTTCTCTTGCCTGGTGTTTTTCCTGAAAAGAGGAATTAAGTAGGTTATAATAAAAGCTGCTTTTGGTATCTCTTAATAACATAGTGTAATATCTTAAAAGTCAACGCAAGGCAAAATGGGATGGCACTAAATATTGTAGGCTATGCTATTTTTGTTAGTGTTAGTAGATGGGTGGGTGTTTTTCAGTGTGAAAGGCAAAAAGAGAGGAGGCAGAACGGAGGAAGATGTAGTCAAAAAGTGACTCGGCCTTGCAGATGAGGAGTGGAAGGAACAAAATGTATGAGCAGGGCAGTTTGCAGCATGCAGCATCAGCATTGGATGAATAAGATAAAGAACTATAATTAACATTGTTGCTGGATTTAGGAGTATTAATGGAAAAACTTGTGGGTCATAGAGGTTAAAAAATTCCTTCAAGGGACACCTTTTTATGAAAAAATTTTGAATGTAACTAGTACACAGTATTTTGGTATTTATATTAGCAAAAACCAAATTTCTTTGCTTGTAGTGCACAATATAAGCAATTCTGTTGTTTCCTTGTGTAGCCGTTTTTTGTTCAAAAACTACTTGATTCACAACTCCAGAAGAGAAAAAGCCCCAAGTGTATAAAACTTCTAGAAAGGTGTGCCTGAAGTCTCAGGAAACTACTCTGTTCATTGTTTATAGCTCATTGTGTTTGAGGAACGAGTTGGATGGAAAAAAACAATAGCAATGAAGTACAGGAGGCTTGTGGTCCTTGGAAATAGGACAGATCTAGTTGGCCTCTAGTGTTCAAATGCAACTGTAGTCTGATCACCCTTGAAGGGAAAGGGTTTGGTCCAGACCAGTCCAGGGTCTGACAGGAAGAGCACTTGGTTCCTTTCCCTTTTGGAGTTGTCATATGGGGATGAGGGACACTGATCCAGTCCTGTTGTTATCTCAGAGATTTGTGTGAGCCCCATCTAGTCCTGTGTTTTGTTCTCTTGATAGTTGCCTCTGTGAATATGTACCCATACTTGTTTTCAAAAGGCAAATAAATTCTATGATTCTAGTGGCAACAGAGATAAAAATGGTAGGTTTCATTAAAAAAAAGAGGTAGGTTTCATTAAAAAAAAAAAAAGTCAGATAAAATTACTAGCTCCATTACTTTAATTGCTCCTTGTTCTATGTTTTGCAATGTTGGCAGTTGTTCTATGATTTGCAATGCTGATTCTGTAACTCTCCTGGATTATTCTCTCGTGTACAAGTATTGAGTACAGCTGTGTGTACAGGTATCACAGGAGTATGTACTGCTGTTAGAGTTCTGCATCCACGTGTTTGCTTTGTTAGCCAGTCTTCCTGGAAAACACCACCCCACCTTGCCTGGACTGGTTATCTGTGTGCTTGTATGCCTCTGGGCTTGGCTCTCTCAGGTGCAGCCTTTGGTGACATATCTGGATATCAGGATGATTGATTGGCTGGCTCAACACTTGGCACCATCACAACTCTTGGCCCTGGATTGCTGAGAGTTCGAAAGGATGGGGAGGAGAATTCTGATTTTACTTTCACATTCAGGCTGTAATTCAGATACGGAGGAGATACTGTTGAATGACTACAAAGATCTACAAGAGATAATTTCACAGGAGCGTTTGAAGTTTTCTTTTACTCTTTTCTTGAATCTTTTGATGTCTTCCTGAGTTTTCCTCCAGGGATTATGACCATCAGCAATTTTGATATGATTCAAGTCCTTGTTGTGTAACTGTCTTTCAGAACCACACTTATGTTTCTAAGTCTATGGGCTGCTGTATCCAATAAACTGGGAACCTTGGCAGGCTGGACCTGTATCACATGGTTTATGAGAGAGCAACTGACTTTTCTTTTTAAGAAATAGTAAGTCAAATTTGGAACACAGAAGTTATCAGAGTACACAAGTGTAATTTGTGTGAGGTACTACTTGAAGGATACTTCCTGCAAGGAAGGGACTCCACTATATATGTTATATATGTTATAACACCTTGGTCAATAAGGATTACATTGCAGTGGAGGATGAAGTTCTGCAAAAAGCTGGACTTCAGTTTTGAACAAAAAAAATGCCTACCTAAGGAAACAATGGAATTGCTTATATAGTGCACATCATTATCAGTGCTGCTGTAGTCTACTTTCTTTCTCATGCTTGTGTGGCTACTGAAACCAGAGCAGCGAACCAACAGTGAGTTCTAATCTGAAAACTAACCTGATATATAAATAGTGTTTCATTTTATTCAGCTGCAGTCATTTTTGTACTGCTTTGACCTGGCATTGTGATTATGAATACCTATGTAAATGAAGATTCTGGAGTAGTTGATATGATGATTGGGTCAAACTGGAAAATTTATGGTAATTTCTGTA